GTATAGCTTTAATGGCTAGCTTGGTATAGCCCTCCAGTACAGGCAAAAGCCTTAACTGGTGAGGCAGACCGCTCTTGAGCACCCTTCGGGGCAGCCGAGAGATGTCGGATCTGTAACTTAGATAGTTAATTATATGTAATTATATATGCTTTGATCTAATAAAGATACTGGCGAGGCTGCCGATAAAGGAAAAAAAAAAAAATCCACTACCATCTTCATCCATAAAGACAAAAAATTATCATAGTTCCTGTTCATAATTTTAGGTAAAAGCTCCATAAACTTTCTGTATGTAAATGGTTTATCAGTGGTTTCTGAGAACAGATATGTTTTCCTGATTTTCTTGCGATTTTATCAGTAATTGCCAGTTTTAACCTCTGGTAAGCATAATTTTGGTAAAATTGATTTGTAACTCTGGTAATCATAATTTTTGGTTAGTATAATTTTGGTAGAATTAATTCGTAACTCTGGTAATCATAATTTTGGTAGAATTAATTCGTAACTCTGGTAATCATAATTTTTGTAGAATTGATTCATAACTCTGGTAAACATAATTTTGGTAGAATTAATTCATAACTCTGGTAATTATAATTTTTGTAGAATTAATTCGTAACTCTGGTAACCATAATTTTGGTAGAATTAATTCGTAACTTTGGTAAACATAATTTTGGTAGAATTAATTCGTAACTTTGGTAATTATAATTTTGGTAGAATTAATTTGTAACTTTGGTAATTATAATTTTGATAGAATTAATTCGACATTATTAATAAATATATCGATATTACATGTAAAAATAAAATATGGTTTTTTATTGGTTGTGTTGTGTATAACATATTCATATAGATCAACAAAAAACACTAATTATCAGTTGGTTATCTTTTATTGCTAAATACGTGATATAAAGAAAGAGTACGTTCAAAATTACTTATCTTTTGTTAAAGAAAAACCAAAGCACCCTTATGACTTTTATATTTTTCTTGCTAACAAAAATCAAAAAATCTGAACAAAAAATATGAGACAATAATTTCAAAAATTTCTTTGTTCTTTTCAAGGGAAGTTCATGATATAGAGAAGAATGAAAAGAGACTACTCAAAGCAACAATCTGATGAATTTCAGCCCAAGATATTGGACTATTTGAAAAAAATATTCTATACAAAAATTCTTAGCTCTCAAAATTCGTCAATAGATACAATAGATACAAATAAACCTTACTAATATATTTCTAGTTATTTTATTTTTTGAATATTTTTATTGAAAAATATAACTTTATTAATATAAATATGTAGTGTTATATAATGATGTTATACATAATTGCTTTGAATGCTCTGGCTACATAACTCAGAAGTATACAAAAAAATATTTTGTAATTTGCTGCAAAACCTGATGTATTATTTAGATAGGATAATACTAAATCGATAAACTTTTTTGCGGTGAGTAGTTCTTCGTAATCATCCTGAAAGTTATTGTAAAGTTCGCATAATAAACCACTTTCGATGAATGCAAAGTATAAATCTTCTGGTCTTGAATCATGTAATAATAGTTTTACAAAATTATTTACAACACACCACAAATTTAATAATTTAATTACATCTATTTTATATGGTACTTTTTCTTGGTATTTTTTTCGTAACATATCTTGTAATCTATTTTGATCGAGTGCTTTGAGAGAAAAGACCTTTTTAATAATAGCGAATATATGACTGTCAAAATCGTCTCTGATCATTATGTCTTCTAATATCATATAAATGTACTCGGTGACAGCTTGATCTTTTTTTCTAAGGAAAATATTTTCTAAGGATTTATTTTTGGTCATAACTCTCAGTAGAAATTCACTTTTGTACATTTTGATTTCTGGGAGTGATTCTAAGAGTTCTGT